TTCATAAATATGAGTTTTGAATCTATTTGGTTTGATTTTTTTTACAATTGGTTATTGAATGGGGCCTCACTCAACCTTTATGGAAAATCAATTGTTCTAAACGTTAAGTGTTTTCTTTCTAATTACTATTTTTATTATTTTTTTCCAACTACTAATTATTATCTTGATTCTTGAAATTCCAAATATATTTATAGTTATTTAGGGATTTAGGGTGTATAGATGAAAAAAGTTGCTATCTATGTTTAAAATATATTAGTATAATATTTTGTGCATAGCATGCATGCATGCTTACACCTTCACTTCTATCAAAATGATTTTAATTTATTTTGTATGAATCAACTACATATGTAGCATATTTTAAATGTAATATGTTGATTATTTTCACTTATGTTAATATTTTTTTTGTTGATAATTTTATTATGGTAATTTGAGTTCAAGTTGTGACCTCTTTTTATGAACTCTTATTGCTGTTGGTGAAACTATCTTAATAATATAGGAGTTGTTTTTTTTACTAATGTACTCTTTAAAAAAAGTTTTTAATTATATGGTTAAGAAAAAATTTATAGAAATGAATGATATGGAATACAAGTTTTAGAAAACTTTTTATAAGGGTTAACAAATATTTTCTCTTAACTTGCTTGATAATTTAATAATCCTAATATGTTTAATGAATTACAACCAATTAATTCATAAATCACATTAATAATTATCATAACGTATAGATTAGTAGACCTACCATTAGACTTTATTTCAAAGAGTTACCACCAATATTTTTTTTTTAAGTGTGATTGATCACTTAATTGAATCTGTTTTATTTTAAAGAGATGTTCTAAGTTTGACTCATATATTTTTAAAAGATAGATTCATGTCTATAAAGCCAAGATTAGATCCGGAAGTTTGGTTACGTGTAGGGAAGGTTATAGCACCCTGTAACAACCATCCAAATGATGGTACCATTTGATCTCCTGTTATCCAAAACCGTAAAAATCTTACCAAATAATTAGTTATTGAAAATTATCTTAAAATTACTCCAATATGTTGGTAATAATTTTAGGTCATTCCCTTACTTCAAGAGTATTCAAAGAGACTATTTGTTACGTTTTAAAAAAGCTTAATCATTAGATTTATTAATATTTTATAAAAACTTTTATTTATAATATGTGAGATTTTGAGAATCTTGATATTGAAAATCTTTTTCTAATTCTTCAATAATTTGGTAAAATTTAGAAAGAATTTTTTATTTAAGAATTTACATAGAGATTGTTATTTGCAATGCTTTTAGTAACTCCATAATTAAAGATTCAAAATCTAATTTTTATAAAAATATTTTATTTTAAAAAATATCTTCCAATATGTTGGTAAGATTTTTTATCAAAAATTATCTTTTAATATTTTTTTTGTCGATAATTTTGTTATGCTAATTTGAGTTCAAGTTTGTGACCTCCTTTTAGGAACTCTTATTGCTGTTGGTGAAACTATCTTAATAATATAGGAGTTTGTTTTTTTTACTAATGTACTATTTAAAAAATGTTTTTGATTATATGGTTAAGAAAAATTTTATAGAAATGAATGATATGGAATACAAGTTTTAGGAAACTTTTTATGGGGGTTAACAAATATTTTCTCTTAACTTGCTTGATAATTTAATAATCCTAATATGTTTGATGAATTACAACCAATTAATTCATAAATCACGTTAATAATTATTATAACGTATAGATCAGTAAACCTACTGTTAGACTTTATTTCAAAGAGTCATCACCAATATTTTTCATTTAAGTGTGATTGGTCACTTAATCGAATTTGTTTCATTTTAAAAAGATGTTCTAAGTTTGACTCAGATATTTTTAAAAGATAAATTATGTCTATAAAACCAAGATTAGATTCGGGAGTTTGGTTACGTATAGGGAAGGTTATAGCACCCTGTAACAACCATCCAAATGATGGTACCAATTTGATCTCCTGTTATCCAAAATCGTAAAAATCTTATCAAATAATTAGTTATTGAAAATTATCTTAAAATTACTCAAATATGTTGGTAATAATTTTAGGACATTCCCTTACTTTGAGAGTATTCAAAGAAACTATTTGTTACGCTTAAAAGATGCTTAATCATCGGATTTATTAATATTTTATAAAAAATTTTATTTATAATATGTGAGATTTTGAGAATCTTGATATTGAAAATCTTTTTCTAATTCTTCAATAATTTGGTAAAATTTAGAAAGAGTTTTTTATCTAAGAATTTACATAGAGATTGTTATTTGCAATGCTTTTAGTAACTCCATCATTAAAGATTCAAAATCTAATTTTATAAAAATATTTTATTTTCAAAAATATCTTCCAATATGTTGGTAAGATTTTTTATCAAAAATTATCCTTCAATATGTTGGTAAGATTTTATGAAAATTATTTTTTTTTAAATTTTAATTTTTGTCAAAATTTAAAAAAGTTTTTAATATGTTGGTAAAACCTTATTTAAAAATTACAAATTTTTTAATATGTCGGTAAGGCTTATTTATGCAAAATTCATTTTTTCAAAAAATTTTAATCTTCTAATATGTTGGTAAGAGTTATTTTTTAAAATTTTAAAATTTTAAAAATTAGTAATTATTAATTATTTATTTTAAAACCCTATAACATATTGGTAAGGTTTTATTTTTTATTTTTCACATTCTTATCTAACACAACAAACACATAAAATAAAAAATAAAATAAAAGGTAAAAATACCAAAACAATACCAAAGAAAAGTTTCTGGCTCGGCTTTAGAATACGACTTGACAGCTTGGCTCATTTTAGAAGAAAAAATCAACTCGGCTTCGCTCATGGCTCGATTTAGCAGCTTAGCTAAATACTAGACTTTAGGGTTTTTGGTTTCTCATGCGGGTTTCGGGTCGAGTTAATGGCAAACGCGCAGGTCTTGACTATTTAAAACGTAATGATTAAAGTCAATTTAAAAGTTAAAAATTTTCCATTTTCCTCAAAAAAATATATATATATCTTTCTCACTCTAAGTTCCCAGATGAACAAAGCCAAGCTTCAAGCCAAATGCAAAAATTGGTGGCTGTCTGTTGCTATCATCATCGCACACCGCCATTGGTTGCCACTCACCGTCACTGGAATCGTTCCAAAAGATCTCCACAAGCTCCTTCGGGCCTTCTCTCCCTTTTTTTGAAATTAGTTTCCTTTGAAAACATAAAAAATCGCCTAGATTGTAGTTGAAGCCGCGGCCTGGTTCAATTTTCTTTTACTGTGCGATCACGTTGATTTTTAGATATGCTTATCTCCATCCCTTACTCTGCACTTTTATCATTTTTGATCTGTAAAATCTCAACTTGACCGCTGCCAACAACTATTGCTGCACCTTTTCTGTCTCTGGTGTTCTTCTTGCCTATTATGGGTTCTATGATTATACGTATCATTGCTGAATCCTGTGATGATTTTACCGGTATCAATGTTTGGTTTGTTGTGGTTTTGTGTTTGCTCTCATGTATTGTGGTTGGTATTATGCATATTTGCTGAAATTATTGGTAGGTTTATGGTGGTAGAAGAGAGATTCGATGGTGGGTGGAATTGATGCTTATAAGGGCATGAGGTTTCAGCTAGAACTGTTGTGGACTGTCGCAACCAACTTTTGTGATATGGGTTATTTCCAATGGTTTAGAGAAAGTGGTGACAATAGGTATTCTAGTGGTTATATGTGTTAGTGCTTTGTGACTTTATTGAGGGAATTGAAGTTGAATGGAATTGACATGGGAGGGCTCTCAATTAGTTCTTGTGGTGGTGACAGTGTACTTGGTGTGTGGGGTGATGAAGGTGGTATGATTTTTGGTGATTGGTGAATGGGTATGAAGACTTGGTACAAAGGACTTGCTGGAGTTTGCTTGGATTTTGCTAGTGGGGTGGTTTTTGCTCGATTTTTCTTTGTGATTTCCTCTAATTTCTCGGTGCTTTTGCTTTTGTTCATTAGAACATTATTTATAGAAAAAAGTAGAAGAGCTTTATCAAGATTAGAATTTCTTTTAAAAAACTAACAGCTATTACCTAATCTTAAACTATTTTCATACAGGGATCGTCACCGAGTAAGCTTTTAGCTTTTTTCTTTTTTTTTTTTTAATAATTTGAGTTTGAGTTTATGACCTCATTTTGGGAACTTTTATTGCTGTTGGTTAAACTCTCTTTATAACATAGGAGTTTGTTTTTTTACTAATTTATTCTTCAAAAAAAGTTTTTAACTATAGGGTTAAGAAAAATTTTACTAAAATGAATGATATGGAATACTAGTTTTAAGAAATTTATTGTGAGGGTTAACAAATATTTTCTCATAACTTGCTTGATGATTAATAATCCTAATATGTTTGATGAGTCATAAACAATTAATTCATGAACCACATTAATAATCATTACTTGTATATCATAGGTTTTCATATTTATTTCTTTTAAAATATTATTTAAAAGGGTTTTTGAAATTTTTAAAAATTTCCAAAAAATTTGGTTTCTTATAAGATATAAAAACATGTAATACCATTTAGAATTTTAAAGTACTTAAAACACAAATAACTTAATTGAAATCACTAATAGAATAAAAATGGTATATGCATTAATACATAATAATTACTTTACTTTTAGTCCTTTCCAAAATATATGTGTTATTTTGTTAGAAGTCAAAAATAAAAAAGAATTCAGTCTTATCTGTTAAATTATAATTTTATGATAAAAATGTTAAATTTGCATATTAAATTATTAGGTCTATTTATCATTAGAATGAATTTTTTTAGAATACTATTGCACATATATTTACTACTCATATTATTAAAATTAGATTTTTAGCTAAATATGATAATGGGAATATAAATTTTTATTAATAGTATAGTGTTTTTAAAATAAACATGCTAATTTTTTATGAGTAATAATAGTATTTGTAAGAAAAAATATAAAACAATTGCTTGCCCCATGTATAACATGAGTTTAAAATTAATATTGATTAAATATTCTATCCAATTAAGAAGCCTAATGGGTTTGTGACACTTACCGACTTTTTTTATTCATGGAAAGAAAATTTGAACATGTTCTTTCAATAAAGTAGTATGTATCAATGCATCAATTGACTGAGCCAAATGTCAACCAATTTTTAAACGTAAATAATAATAATGTTATTTTATTACATCTACGGTATATGTATGATTTTACCAAATTCATAATAGTTTTGTCAAGAAGTCTCTTTTTAACAAGTTTCTAATGGTGGTGTTTTTGCTGGTATGCATACCTTAAGGTTTTAATGTGTGTTCTGTCATCTGTATCAATTAAATTCGAGGGGACAGACTTATGTTGATAATCTGTAATTGTTTTGTGGTACATTGGCAAGTGACACCCCTTTTCTGATGCTGTTCTCTGCTTCGATGGCCTTGTCTTTACTTGGTAATTGATATTATAGGGTGACAAGATACGGAGACGTGATGAGTGGTCCAATTGGATTCCAGCTAGTTCAAAGACAACATTGTCAGCAGAACCTCAGGCTACTACGTACCAACTTGAAGAGAATGCCACTGATTCATGTGGAAATGGTGATGTGAATGAAGATAATTCAAGGAACACTTCTGAAGAAAATGATAAATTTACATTGCATGGTGGGAGCTTGGAGCATGTTTCAGCTGTGGGCAATCCTATGGAAGTAACACGTAAAAATAATAGAAAACATGCAGTTGCGCAAGGTCTATTAAATGGTGAGAAATGAGCATTTTATGGTGGAAATGATGACTTGAACAGGAAATTAATTGCTGATTCCCACATTAAATTCTCAGATGTCGAAGAGTTACAAAGAGTTGAGTCTGTAAGGTTTACTGACCATAAAGCTGAAAGTGTGGAATTATTATCAGATGTAACAACACAAAATGTTGCTGACCTATCAAATGATTTCGCACACACATTTATGCTTGATGAAGAGCTAGAGCTCAAGCAAAAAACACTAAGGACTCTCTCAGCACTTAAAAGGTACTAGATTGTTTTTATATTTAATTCGCACAGCATCTCATTTATTGTTGAGTTAGGGAAATTTCTGCTTTCTGTTTAAAGGCATGTTTTAAACACCTAGATGCTAATAACCTTCCCTTCAATTCTGAATGGCATTTTTTGTTCAGAATGGATGATGAAGATGACGAGATGATTATCAACGATCAGGATGTTCAGAGACTTGTGATTGTTACCCAGGTAATGTGGTACTGCTTTGTATGAATTTATTTTATGCCTTGTTAATTGTTATTGTTATATTTCATGTTTAAAGATTGGGTCGTTGCAATAGCTTCTTGGGATCTTCTAACTTCTAGGTTTATGCATTTACTTGCTAATTCAAGATAGTTGGTCTGATATCATGACAATCCAATAGTATCATATTGATTGTCTGATGTCATAAGAAAATGATAAGAATGTCAGACTTTACTCTGAGATAAAAGGAAATACAATTCAAAAAGAATATATATATATATATATATATATATATATATATAATACCCCATCTAAATCTGTTATTTCGTAGACATTGCATTTATGAAGCATATACGTGCATAATGTAATACTTCCATGTTGTGCAGTTGAAGCATTCTAAACTGATTCAAGAGGGCAGTGTTCTTTCCCAATTGCAAATAGAAAGATAACCATTTTCTTCACGTCAGCAATAATTTAGAATTTAGAGACATTAAGATAGGACATTCTGGTCCACTCCTCTCCTCTCCTCTTGCATCTCTTTTCTCCCAATTTCTTCTGATATTCTTATTTTTTATCGAGACTGGTATGTTCTTTCTCTGTTTTTAGGTTACACCGTGATCATGCATTTTGTTTGGATCATGTTTTACTCATATTAAACAGTCGAATGGTTCTGTTTTTCTTTTAATGGCACGTACTCATTTCTTCTGATGTGCAGAATAGTGGGACAGGTGAAGGACCAAAAGCTGGTGCGAAAGATTCAAAGTCCATATCCAGTGAGCTTGATGCTGTGATAAATGATGGTCTTTACTTCTATGAACAGGTCAAGGGATAAGCTTTTCTAATTTATTTAAAACTGTCTTATGGTACATATTTATAAGTTGCGTCTTTTTCTGTAATCTAATTACTTGCTGGTGACCGTTATGAACAGGAGCTGAAAATTAAACGATTTAGTCGTAGAAAGAATAACTCTATTTATGAGAATAAAGATGGAAATCCAAGGTCTCCAAGGAGTGCATTGGGAGTATCAAATTCAAAGATAGGTGAAAACGCTGCTGGGAGCAGTAGTCTTGTGGAGTCTGGAGGAACAAGTTCCTGAAGGAAGCAAAATAAAGGTTTCTCAAAGCAACATTCATTCCAGAAACAGAGAATTTTCTCCAGCAACTTAAGAATCATGGAACCAGTCACAACTCAATTTCAATAATATCAGAAAGTCCACCAAGTAATTCGGTTGGATATTTCTTTGGTTCTACTCCTCCAGATAGTTATGGGTTAGTTCTAAGTGACCGTTTCTTCATTTTAAATGTCACGAGTAACTGAGGTTCTTTTGGCTTGTTTTCTAATAGTTGTACTTTTTCTTGCTTTTGAGTGCAAGAATACAGGTTACTGCCGGTTTCAAATATACATGAAACCTAATTTATTTGACTAGACTTTAAGGTTTTCCATAGCTAATGGATGTCTAAGCATTTTTTAGAGCTCTAGGCCGCCTTCGAAGTTGAGCTGTTCACCACATGGAACTCTTTCTAGCAGTCCACCAGTTGGTTCCTTGCCAAAGCCATTTCCACCTTTTCAGCATCCAAGTTATCAGCTGTTAGAAGAAAATGATTTCAAGCAACAGAAGTAAGGGATGGTGGATTTTTTCTCTAATATATGTATGTATTTTTGTATACTTTTGCACAGTTCACATATAACTTTCAAGACTTTGTCAGATTTTTGTTGTACCTAAAACATACTTTCTTTGTGGTCTGTGCTAGAGCCCTTCTGCATGTACTTGTACTTGCTCAGAGAGGTGTATAAGGATGGAGAGAATGAGAATGAGCACTTGAAAAGCAGAGTTGGCTAATTCAGTTGTTTTTACATTCAGGTACCTAAAGTTTCATAAGCGCTGCCTGAGTGACAGGAAGAAGTTGGGAATTGGTTGCAGTGAGGTGGACTTTCTTTCGGAACTTTCTAAGTTATTAAATGACTGTTTTACATGAAATGAAAGATCAACTATTGCACAACTAACTTCTATTGTTTAATTGATTCTCATGTCTAGGTAAGTTCTACTAAAAATATTTACTCTTGTACCTCTTTTTGAATTTTGTCTTTGTTTTGTATTAGTACCCAGTCATCTTAGTCACACAAGAAATAGGTTGTGTGGTGTGCTTTCATCTTTAATCTCCCCATTATGTCATTTGTAAGTGAAGAAAATTGAATATAGTTTACCTGAAGGGAGGATGAAGCCCTAAATGCATTACCGTCAAAGTTCTGTTGTCTGCATAGATCTTGATGTAGTTTAAAAAACTGAATGGTCTATCTTCATCAACAACATTACGAAGGAGGTAAGGATGCGTTCAATCTCAGAGGCAAAACATTTTACTTCATAAGCTGCCGCGGCTACTGATTTAAAGGAATGAAAGTTGCCTAATTTCCAAGAATCACCAACTTTTCCTCTGACAAATGGCTCTGCATCAAACCATTCTGGAAAGTTGATCCTGCTTGTTATGGTTGCCATCGTTTTGAAATGGATACTCCTTTGAAATATTTCTGTTTCTTTTTTCTTTGGTACATGAAACAGTGGAGATTCGTTTTTAACAGGAAGTGTTGTCTATAAATTTTTGCATGCTATTTTTTTTCCTACCAAAACCGACAAACTCTTTCCTGAAAAATTAAATAAGCTAGAAATATGACTCATTCTTGCCACAGAAAAGCATTACATTATATACTAGAGAAGTGGTATAGTTTTCTAAGCATCAGAAACCAACAAAAGTAGTTACTCAGAAGCCACATCTAACTGGTTAAGCAACTGATACCCTAGCCTAACAGTAAATAAGAGAACAGAGTAAAGGGCAGTAGTATAACCACTTCTCTAAACCAAACAGAAAAAGCCACTGTGAATTACCTAGTCAAGCATTCATATCTTTAGATACGTTAGGGGCTAAGCATCCAAAAAGTTTATAATCAAAATGGATGATGATTCAGAGAACAGCACATCATCATCAGAACAAGTCTGCCATAGCCCTAACTCTAAAGGTTAAATATACTTAAAAAGAGTTTCAGATCAGTTGTTGGTAAAACCAAAAGCCTATAGAAAACATGGTCCAAAGGTCTCAGCAGAAGAACATAGAATCGGAGACATTCTTGTTCAACCACGGCAGCTGCGGAACAGGTACGGTTCCAGGAGCAGTCACCCCACTATGGCTTGAGGATGTCTCAGGAGCGTCATCAAACTTCAGGAAAGTCCCCAACTGCGAAGCTGCCAAATGCGCATAGCAAATAGGAGCAACTGCAATCCAAAGTAAGATTGAAACAAACACCTTTAAGAGATGGAAATACAGAATCAAGCAAAAAACGGCAAACTATTCTCTGGAGATCAAGTGGGAAAATCATTAGGTAAACCAAATTAACTTGGCGTTTGAGAAAAAGCATATCATAAACACTAGGGAACAAGCTCAACCAGAATACCTACCTACTGATATGGCAGTGGTACTTCTTTGATACCTGCACTAGAAAGAGATTACAAGGAATGCAACAGTGATTACAGCTTCAAACATCTATGAAGAAATTACAACAATGATTATACACTTACACATATGATAGAGAATGGACAAGTTCCTGCAGATCGTCGACGAATATCCACCTCTCATCTAAGAGACATGATAATGGGTAGCCTTGTGGTTCCCTGAACAGCAAACACAATTATAAAAACAAAGCAACATTATAATAAAGATGAAGGGCTATACCCATAAGACAACAGCAAAAGCATCGAGCACAATTGGATGAGGAAACGAACCCACAATTGGAACTTTAATCTCAGTTGTAAGTTTCTTTCACAACAAAACATACATGACAGCTTAAAATACAAACAATGAATTATGGATAGAGAAGGCAAGTACAAATGTAGTTGGCAATATCTGACCAATTAAGTGAGACAAAATTGCAAAATCAACAACCATTCATCAACTGAAACACAATTCTAGAAAAAACTTACAGTCATTCCAGCATGTGCACATAGATAAAAGTCATTGTTCTGTGGATGACAAATTGTGTTGTCTATCACAGTTCCTGCATAATAATTAAAAAAAAAAAAAAGATCGATTTTAACAACTATAACAGAGGTACCAGATGACATGCATCAAATAATGAGTGAGCCTCACCAGGTAGAACATTATCAGGAGATCCCTGCTGGAAAAACCTTGTATGATGACTTTTTTGTGCTGCAATGACCACAAACTTGGGGTTCCAATTCTCATCAAGAAACTTGCAAGCCTATAAAGCAAACGTTAACCAGAGATGTTTTATCCCAAGCACTATCATCTTAAGACTGATTTATAACTAGCACAATTTTCTTACTTTTTTTGCATGAATAACTAAAAAAGAAATGTACAATTTTCAGTTTTGAAGGGCACTACTGCATACCTCAATAATTTGACCCAGTTCAGTGTTCAAAACTTGGTTGAACTGTGACTCGCTAACCCCATCCCTGAGTTGAACCAAGAATAATGAGCAAGTAAGCAATATTGCATTAGCATCCGAATAAAATGTAACAGAAAGATCAGCAAAATAACCACAAACTAGATTACAAGAAATATGTAAAGAGATATGATGGTTCATAAGAAATGTTACATTCATAGGACCCAACTATACAGAACAGAAATCTAAATCTTAGTTAGGGCATTAGCTGGGATTTACATCATTTTAAGTCATATAGCCAGAGCAGAAAATTAGGATAATAGAAAAGGCTAAAAAATGAGAATGTTCTGAAGCATTTCAAACAGCAGGCAGCAAGGAACATGCTAGGTTGATTAAAAGTTTAAAGGACAAGTTGTACAATCTGTAAGCAACATGAAGAGACTAAGCAAATCAAATATACTTGAATATCAATACAGCATTTCACAAGTAAAAAGATGATTTAAAAGAATAAATACACCCATTACTTGAAGTCAATACAAATGGAGTTTGCAAAGCAGAGACCAAGCCGTGGCAATTAAGAACTAGGAAAACCAAATTTTGCATCCCTGAGTTACCTAAAAATGTATTCTTTCAAAATGTATGATTTAGAATATTGATATTATATAGAATGAACGTGAGAAACAGCAAAAATGTAAAATAAGAAACCTGAATATGATGATTTGAGTAGGCTTTCTCTGTCCTGAACTTCTATAAAAGTCCAATACAGCCTGCCTGATATCAAAGAAAATACGTTAGGTACACAAACTATAAACATTATATTCTCAAAAGTTAAAATACTACGACACAAATGATTACCAGCAGAATAACATATTCTTATTACAACACACCCCCAATGACGCCTCAAGCAAGAAGAGAGAAACAATAATAAGGATATAAAAAATCAATTTTCAGCAAATAACTTGTCCCTTTTTTTGGATAAACGATGTCCTTATTTTGGCCAATACTTGTCCCTTCGTTAGTCAAATAACTTTAAGATTGAAACGTACCTCATAAGACCTCCATCCACCTGGTCAGACACTCGTTTGAATAGTGAATCTATCATTTCAACCTTGGGTGACTGTGTCCGAACAGATGCCCTATAGCGGGAAATCGAAGGCCACTGCCTGGAGTTAACCACCTACAATTAAATACAATTAAAAAATCTCACAAAATTTGTAGTACAGAGAGACTGCCAATTCACATCTCTATAACTGCTTGCAATTGATTGAAACTCAAGAAACCCAATGATAAGGAATAAGATCTTCCCTACCGCAGCTATTGACGGGACATCGGACTGCCCAGGAGAGCCATGTGACACACCCATGCCAAGGATCATAGTTGGAACACTTGAAACGACAGGGAATGAAAGCGTTTGTTCAATTGATAACATTGAATTCAGTCCTCCGAGCTGTGAGCAGATTATGATATTAGCAGGTTTAATTATAAATAGAACAATAACCCTACTGGTTTAACTACAGAAGATTAGAACCGCAACCAGAGGAATGACTCAAGTTAAAAAAAAAAAAAAATTCATTGGACGGAAGCAGACCTTTGCATTGATCTTGAGAAGCAGATTCGTAAGGTACTTGTCATTGAACCTAGTTGGAGCCATACACTGAGTGACTATGCCAAAGTGACCCAGATTCTTTCGCTTCCATGGACCTTAGAAAATTCATTGAACTTACAACGTAAGCAAAAGACTTGAAGAAAAACATGCATAGACAATGTTATGAACAGATGCGTTTGTGCACACCATAAAGACCGGAAATTTTCCTATCGGGCAGCAGACAGAGAAGGAACCGTGGAGTTTTATGAGTAAGTTTAGATTGCAGCTCATCAAACATCTTCTCCACTCTACCCAAAGGAGAGAGACGTCTGTTCTCATTCATCTCTGTGAACACACCTAATGGACTATCTACACGCTGAAAAAGAGACATGGAAAAGAACTTGAGCCAACAAGTTGAATTCTATAACTTTGTATGTGCTGACTGACAATACCAATACAACCAGTACAAAAATTAGACAACAAACTTACAATTCCTTTCATTTCTCCGCATCTCATCAGATCCCGCACAAGTTTATTTACATCACAACGTGCCGAGAAGTTAACAACACCCCAATCTTCAATCCTAGTTGGCTCCACAAATCTCTACGAAAGCATAACTGAACTGTTGAGAAACAAGAGATGAAACATATGTAAGATAGAAGGCTGCAAAAGCAAAGAAGCTATAGACCTTATTGTTGAAATTCCATCGCCCATTCCGTGGCAAGAAATGTTCACCATCGCCCACTCTTATCTGTCATCAAAAGATAACTCAACTGGCATGTAGATCTAAAAGAAGGATCATTAAAATAACCCTCAACAACCAGCATACATGTACAAAATATCAAAGAAACAAACAAAATTCAGAAAGATAAATATCATTAACCTGCCCATGGAGCTGGCAGAATACGGCCTTCCACTTGGATGAAATTAGAGCTGATAGAAACACCACATGAACGCAGCATTGGTTCCGCACCATAATTACTGTTATGCAAAGCCTGCACAAAAATTTGCAACACTCATCAGTTGTAGAACAAGTGGAATGTTAGAGTCAAAAGCTTATAATAGACCTACGTTAGACAAGATACTCAGTCTTTCTTGAGGCTTCTGCCTTGATTTTTTGACTAGCGAAGCTCTTTGGAAAGTGGATAGCGCTTTTGTGTAGCGTTGCAAGGACACCAAAGTGCAGAGCTATGGCATTGCAACAGGTGCACAACAAATCATAGACAAGAATTAGTTGCTAAGCATATATCTTGTAACAAAACAAAACCACAATGCACCCATTCACCTCCATAGGAATATATGTTGGCCGATTTGGCATGCCAACATTAATGCATCGCAAATCTGCAGAATAATCCAACTGTATCTTGCGATGGGTGACAAAATATTCATAAACAGTAATCTCTACAGTCTCAGCTTCACCAGTCTCATTCTTCGTACTCTTCTGCTTCCATGAGAACCTGCATTATGGACACAGTACACAACAAATAAAAAATAATAACTTTAAACTGAAGTATTACACAACATGGTAGTAGGAAAAGCTCAAAGTTAAATAGTAGCCATTTTAGCACAAATCAAAGAAACAGCATTATTGTGAGACCAGGAAACCGTATATCTGATCTTTGCAGTAAAGGTCACTCAATCCGGTAATCTTGTACTCCAGATTGGATGGTCTGACTTTTACCCTCAGATTTTTAAGCACTTGTTTAGCCTATTCAGGGTTTCAAGCAATTGATGTTTAATAATTAATAATTGATGCAAAGAACTCTAATTCACTTGGCTAAAAAATGTAGTTATTGATAACCTTGTTCCAGTCCAGGCAGAGAGGATCTCTCATATTCTGATTGTCAAGTAAAAAATCCAATACTGGACCGGGTCGAATTATCATTGTATTTGATACATCTGAAACACAAAGAGAAATAGTAATTAAACAAACAATACAAAGCACACAATTGCAAAAGCGCTGAGAGATAAGGTTCCAACCAATAGCCAGTGAAAGGCCTCCTTGAGTAGCTCTGAAACTTGAATGGAACCCCCTGCATCCTAGGACACCACCGCCAATGTTTGTATAATTATTTTCATCATCTTGGAAAAAAGATTGGCGAACGGGTAGGCATCCCCCATGAAAGTCATTGTAATGTCAGAATAAATATAATATCCGGGATCAAAACCTACAAGTGGAGAAAAGAATATGCAGGCACATATTTTAACTCACCGTTTTGCAGCATGCTGCCGTAAAATGATATCTAGCACCCTCAGGGCTTGTTGTGAGTTTTCTGATTGTTGTCCATACAGAGCATTTTGAATGGCTTGCATGGGAATCTTTGCGGCAAAGCTAATCTCCACGTTAAAAGTCTTTGACTGATGCATGCGTCTTACTATCTTCCTTCCACGCTCTTTTGGGCTTTCATAGCCATCAGCGCTTGCATTCCTATTGTTTCTATACATAAAAAATTAATGACAATGAATGGGAGCAGCATAAATACTTCAAATCAATCTAAAGTGCACGTCAACCTGTTGGATGTAACATCCTCAAGTACAACAGGAAACTCAAGCTTGGTACTTGGGAGAGGACCAACAGTAAATAAACTCTTCTCCCCATCATATGCAAAGTCCTTTCCAGCCAACTCACTGCTGTAGGTCTCATGCAACTTATCTATCACCTTTCTTCCAACACCCTTCCCATCCACTGGGCGACCATCTTCGTAAGAAAGAGAAACCTGTTGAACCAAAATGCAAAAGAAGAAGAAACTTGCATCAATAATTTCTATTTACCAATGAGAAAAAAAAAAGAGAAGCAGAGCGAAGTAAGCAATTACGTACACTGTAATGGAAGAAATGTCCATCAACACTTCCAACATTCACTTTGAAGTGATTTGTGAGAATAGATATCTTCTGCCCTTTAGATCCAAAACCTTTCCTGGCCATTGGGACACGTACAACCTTCTTTGCAGGTTCAGATTCTGATTCGTTTGGTACTGCATTGCGCGGCAGAGTTAGGGGAGGAGGGAGAGTGCCTGTTGCCCCACTTCCCTCATCCTCAGACGAGTCCATTTCCTAACCAAGAAAAATTTTCTTACATGAAAGAAAAATAAAATATAGTAAGCACTTAAGATTAGCTACAAGACAGATTCCCTAAAAAGTAGGTAATATTAGTTATTACCAACAAAAGAGAGAAAATTAGAAGCAATCACTCTTGACATATCACAATTTTAAAACTCGTCATTCTATATAATTTAGTATTTAGTTCACTTAAATTAGATAGTGTTTATTTATATATATGATTTTTCTTTATAAGATTGTATTTTTTTTTTAACTTTAAATATCCTAAGAGAAATCCAAAAAGAAATTTAAAGAATTCAGAAAATAGAATAATGACTTAAAAATTAAATTGAAAGTTTTTGTATCTGTATCGTGTAAATACTAAATTTCATGTATTTTATAAAAATTATGTGTAACAATTAATATAAATAAAAAAATATGAAATATGGTTTTTAATTTTGTTAAACTCATATATAATTATTATTAAAATTATAAATCATATTTTTTTCGTGTTATTTATTAATATTGTATTTCGTATTCTTTTATTTGTATTATATTTATGTTATGTTTTCATGTGATATATTATCTTAACAAAGTGAAAACAACAAAATGAGATTTTTTTTTACTAATATACTCAAAATAAGATTTTTTTTTCTACCTACATATTCAAAATGAGATTTTTTTTTTTAACAATATGCTCATTCGCCAAAACGAAAAACAAAGTCAATATGCTCATACATCAAAAAAAAAAATCAAAGCACCAAAACTATATAATATTTAAAAATGAGATTTTTTTTTCCTCACAAAATGCTTAGAAAATCACATGCATGCACATGAAAGACGTGTTTTCGAAGGATACCAATATTACCTAAAAATCAGAGGATCTGTAGAAAAAAAATAAAAAAGCGTATGATGATGAATGCTGGAACTTCCACAAGAAAAAAAAAAAAAGAGAAATAAGCACAAATGGTAATATAAAAGAAAAAGAAACCCTTCAGAGTACCAAAAAAAAGAAACCTTTAAGAATTTGAGCTTGAACGCAGAGGTACCAAGGCTGGCTATGCACTAAAAGGTTAACATGAAGAGGCAAAAAGGTACTGTTTTTAGCATAAAAGTCAAAACTTTAACCAAATATATTGCATCATTTAAGGGGTAGAACGAAAATATACCAGAAAGTAAATACCTTTAGCACATCAAAAGACAGTAAAAGACTATAGCTGCAGAGGAAGAGTACATGAAGCGACAAAAAGCTTGTAAACGGAGTTAAAAATCCCAACTGAAGCAAAAATGCACAGCTTTCTAATGGCTTGATGATAAGATGACAAAAAAGCAACCTTTTTTACTGTAAAAGAACTGAATAATAAAATAAAATAACAAGGTTACGAAAGGTATATGTCTTTAAAAATAGAAAAGTGCTATGCACTAACGAAAAACTAGTCTTTAAAAATAGAAAAAAAAAAAAAACAGCTAAAAAGGTGCAAACTTTAAGCGTTTGTTGAAAAAATAGAAACAAAAAATGGCAACGAAGCACAGATCATACTCAAAAAAGAAGAAAACCCTTGCAAAACCACCCACTGAAGCAGCATTGCAATGAACAACGTTAAAATTTTTCAAGAACAAAGGAACTTTCAAAAAATACTCAAAAAACCAGTAAAAAAAGTCCAAAGATGAAAACCAAGAGAAAAACACTGAAACCAAACAGGTTTCAGAGAAAAAAATACCTGAAAGTTGGAGAGCAAATGAAAGATAGAAACCCTAAAACTCAAAGAGACTCTCAAATACAAATATCCCTTATCGTTTTTTTTCTCACGAAAAAAGCTATAAAGCGAGTGAAATGAACCAGGGACACCCGTCTTTGTCTTTGCCCTTAATTTATATCCTCTGCATCGCGACTTACACGATTATGCGCTTTACCACATTCTGCACCGTCCACCTGGTCAACACTTTATTCATAATATGCATGAAAATTTTTTGAATGATTATGGTTTTTTCAATAATTATATAAGTGTTTATATTGATGCATTGTTAGTATATAAATTTTATACGTTATCAGTGAATTAAATATTATTATTAATAAGATGAATCAAATAATATCACTTCATTAATATGTAAATTTTGTTAAAATTAATTTTTACATATTTATTTAAAAATTGATATTTGCTCATTAATAAATGATTTCATTTTATTTAGTGATTATATATAAAATTTTATATACTGATTATGTGTCAAATATAAACTCATTATATAAACTTAAGATATAGGAATGGTACAAATATATTAAAAAAGTCATTACTTTTTATTAAAGACAACTAAAACTTATCTAAAATAAAATGTTTGAACTAAGACAAATTAATTTTACTATACTATAGTCGCATAGCAATAATCATTTATTAAAAAAGTATTAATTGGCATAATTAATCATTTTACATAAATATATAAAAGTTAAAATCTTTAGTAAAAATAAAATATTTAATATAGATGACTTATATTATTGACATATATGTACAATCTTAAAAAGTTACTTTGTGTCATATAATAATGAATTTTATTTTATTTGATGTATTTTTAATTTGAAAATAAATTGATTTATATTTATTGTTTTATTATTTATCTTAAATCACTCTTAACTAAAATTTCAATTTGATGGTTCTAGGTTAACTGAGATATCAAAATTGCGAATTTGTTGGGTAAAAAAAATTGGATTGGGTGGAGAAGGGTGATTTGGATAAAAAATGAAAAATAAAAAGAAAAATAGTGTTGGGACCATGTACTTACATATATAACTGTGATGTGATTTTGCAAGATATGTTGGGGTAGATTAAGATATTCAAAATTACAAATTGTATGGAGTAATTATACAACTTTTTATAGGAGTATATTTTTTCTTATATTAAACTTTAAATATTTTATCAACCACTTCCAATTCAATAATTAAATATTTTTTCACAAAAAATATGTTGAAAATTTTTTTATCTATCCATAAATGATTTTATCCTAAAGACTTAATTTCATAAATTCTTGTATTGGTAGACAATTTTTTTTGAAGTATCATAGACATCTTTTTATTTTCTTGTAGTTATCTTTATCACATACAATTATCAAAATCAAAATATTTATAATTTTCGATTGTTAATTCTCTAAATTTTTCTAATAGTGGCAATATAAATGTTAGACTTATAATTATGATATTAGATGTTACATTTATTCAAAATAGGTAAAATAATGGTAATGTTTACAAATTGGCGAAGGGAATTAAATCGATTATTAGTAGTAGTGTGAAAAAGATGTTTCAACAAATACAACTAAAATAAATTAGGTGATGTGATTTTTTTTAAAATTTCATTTAGTTCATGCTTTTATTTTTTATTTTAAAAACAAAAAATTAAAATGATGAATAAATAGTATTAAAATTTAACCACCGATTAGCAAGATTTTTCTTAAAATGAAGATATTAAAAGTTATCGATAGTTATATGCATTATATTTTAATTTTAGTGATTAAAATTTAATTATAAAATAAATAAATATTAATAACAAATATATCAAAATAAGAAACAAAGACTAAATTTTTTTAATAAAGAGAATATGAAAATAAATAGACACAATTAAAATATAAAATTTTGTGAATACTATGTCTAAATCCCTATTTTAGTCTTTTTTATAAAACCTAAAAGCCGTAATATATACATGCAAATAGGTTTAGATGTTACCTATTTCACAACTTAATCGAATTCCTATAGCTTCAATGTTTGCTTTAGGGACTTTTGAAAAATTACATATTGATCTGCTCGATAATTGTTTCTTAATCCTTCTCAAATATATAAAAGAGTAACGAGTGTTTTTCATGTACCTATTCTTAGGCACAACAAGCTAGTTAAATGAGTACTTTTACTAGGGAAGTTGGTTCTGTAATTTTCTTATATCAATATTTGTTTATTTATACACATTTACTGAGGTTAACTTAATTCATTAAAAAAACTTTTACTTAAATATATTATTAAAAGTTATTTTTTTAATATAAATTAGGTCTAAATCTAGGGTTCAAGAAATCTGTTGTATGTATTGAGATTTAAAATTTACATTTGTTGAATACTACTTCTTAATAATAATTGTATGAACAAATTTAATTAAATTTTTAATTCAAAATTTATATATTTACCAAGCTTAAATATAATATAAATATATAAAAACCAAAGTTTTTGGTGAAAGGAAGAATCCAAGGTGTCATGCATTTTAATATGTCATAATGTATAGATCCGTAAACTTACCGCTAGATATGGATTAGAAGAGTCATCACCAATCTTTTTTGTTTAGATGTGATCGGTCACTTGATCAAATATGATTTACGAAACTAGAATTTAGATTCGGGTGCACGGTTACGCATGGGGAAGGTTATAGCACATAACGTCTATCCACAGGATAGTACCAGTTTGATTTCAAATTATCTAAGCCTAAAAAATATTTATAATTTACCAAAATATTAAATATTAAAAATTAGTCTTAAAATTATCTTAATAGTTTGGTAGCAATTTAAGATAATTCTCTTACTTCAAAAGTATTTATGGAGAATAGTGTCATACTCTGAAGAGACTTCATCATTGGATTTATTAAAGTATTTTATTATAAAAAAACAGTAAAGTCTCCCAATAGTTTGGTAGCACTTACTTTGAGGTAGATCTCTTAATAGTTTAGTGAGATTTCATTGCAAAAAAATTTGTGAAAATTTTTTAAAATTTTACTAAGTCTCCAAATAGTTTGATAGGTTTTAATTTGAAGCAATTTTCCAATAGTTTAGAGGATAAAAATTATTTTTTTATTTATTATTTATTTATTTTTTTAAAAAATGATTTATATAATTTTTCAATAGTTTGGTGGATTTCATAAACCTTTTTGAAAAGATTTTTCACAAATTTTTTATATTTTTTATTGAAAGAATTTTTTTTTTATAAATATTTTTTGAGGACTTAAAAAGATCTTTTTGTTTTCTTTTTTTAATTTTGAAAACTTATTTCG